CTCAGTCTGAGTTCCAGCGGGTCTCACACCACACACTAACACCAACTCACCAGGCTATGGAAGTAATGAAGGATGTGAAGACCTCCCTCCCCAGCAGGGAACACCGTGCAGCTAAGCAAGGATGTCAAGAGCCTGCACAGAGTAGGCATGGTAACCGCAAGTAACAGACACTGAGTCTTGCCTAACACCCAGTCTGTGGACACCATGGCTCGCCTGCCCTCACCTTCATTCCAGCATTCCGGAACTCGGGGTGCTCCTACCAGCAGGCAGGACCAGAGTGGGAGCAGCCCTCTCCTCAAGCAAACTGGGGAGGGGGGTGCAAACTCTGGAGCCTAACTGCCTGTGTTAAGATCCTGACTTAGGGAAAAGTAATTAACTTCTCTGGGCCTCAGTCTCCCTGTGTGTAAGTCAGGGTGATCACATAATATCTACAGCACAGGGTTCTGAGGATGAAGTGAAGCTGTGCACAGAGGTCAGATAATCCTGGAGGCTTCAAGAATTCACAGACAGAGCTGTAGGCAGATTCTCACCATTTGCAAGCACAATTGAGCAATGAGTTAATTAAAATTCTCACCCAAGAGCAGCAGTGGAATCAGAGCAGTGTGATGGCTGGTCTCTGCTGCCTCCTAGTGGCCACTTTGGTTAATTTTCAGATTGACTCCTTGAAGGAAAGACAAGAATCACTTTAGAGTGATCCCTTTGGAAGTGTCTGGCTGACTTTCTTTCCCAAGTTGCATCTTTGTTTTCTGGTCTGTAAGGTGAAAAGAATGTAAAATTCTACTTCACTTGACAGGGGTCTTTTGTGTTGTTTTGAAATAAGCTCTTGCTATGACCCTCCTGCCTCAGTCTACCAGATTGCTGGGATTACAACCATGCCATACACTGCCTGCCCCCCACTGCCCCCAACCAGGCCTTCCTTTGAAGCCTGGGTGGAATCCTCCATAAGTCCTGTGCTCTTCGTGCCTGCAAAACCAGCAACACATGAATGATGCCAAGGTCTGGCACCAGTTTGAGCAGTAGCCAGTCACTCAGACCATGGCTGCAGCAGCCTGAATGCTGTTACCTTGAAATTTTTTCCACCAAAGTAATTATCCCATTATTTTTAAATTTAGCCTCACTTTAGAAGTCTCAGGATAGGAACAAAACATAGACAAACTCTTTGCCAGAATGTTGTATGTCTGGTCTCTAGTCCAATAGTCCTTGTTCCTACCTGGAACCTCATGAGCCTAGCCTTCCCTGCCTGCATGCCGGTCCCAAGAATCATCCATTGAGCTCTGCTCATGCCATTTTATCAAGCCTGCTCCTCCAAACTCTTCCAAACCCCTCCCACAAACAAGTTCCAAAGGCTTCTAAGCCACATGATCAGGTAGTCACAGCGACGACCCCACTTCTCTGGTACCACTTTCTGTGTTAGTTACTGATGTGTAGCTGTGACCAAAACACCTGTGAGCACAACTTAAGGAAAGTAATTACTTATTCTGGCGAGCTCAGTTCATGGTTGCTTGGCTCATGCACTTGGGCAGAGCATCATGGCCACAGGAGATGTGGAGGAGGCTGTGTACCTCATGCTGGAGAGGAAACAAAGAGGGAGGGACGGGGACCAGGTATAACCTTCAAAGGCATGCCCCTACTGACCTTCCTCCTCTAAACTAGGCCTTACCTCTTAAATTTTCCAGAACCTTCCAGAATAATACCACTGGTTGGGGACCATGTCTTCAACACATGAGCCTGTGGGGGACGGGGACATTTCATATTCAAACCGTAACAGATATCAAGGGGCAGGGGTGTTTCTTGATGAACTGATCTGATAGGATTCTTGCTAAACTGGGTAAGCTAACCAAAGATGGATGCTGAAGGTTGAGGCCTAGTGAACTTGGAGGAGCCTGACTAGAGTTTGGTCAAGAAGCGCTCTCTCAAATTCTACCCTAACAGATTCTGCAGCAAGTCTAAGTGAAAAGTTTGACTTTTACCTCTCATGCCAAGCTCTGGCCTCACCCAACCTGTCAACACAACTCCTCACAGCCTCACCACAGGAAACCACCATGCCACCTGTTCTCTGTATTCAACAATGACTGTACACATTGCAAAGTGTTGGTGAGCACAGACCTCTCCTTTCTGAGAGCCCTCCTCTCCACCAGGCCTAAATACTGGGCTGCTGAGCCAGGTTAGTGATGCTCTTAAGGCAGTTCAGTATGACCCCACCTCCAGTACCTAATCAGGTTCCTCTCAGTCTTCTTGTCTTTTTACTTGAGCTCAATTTTAACAGGGCAAGTAGTCTTAAGCCTTGCATGCCATTTTTAACAATTGTCCACAAAGTTGTTGTTTAAGAGACCATCAAGATCACAAAGCAAAAGAGCAAATAATTTTCACAGGAGAACCTGATTTTTCAAGCACAGGGAACGTGAAACCTTGCTAATTAAGGCTTGCAAATTAAAGTAACATTTTGTACCTATTAAACTGTGCCTCGCATGCAGGTGATCAACAACCTTTGAGTCCATGACTGCGTTAATGGATTCAAAATACTACTCGATTCTATGAAGTTCGGGCAGAATTGACAGGTTGGTTCAGATATTGCTGACATACCTCTTTTGGAAATAAAATGGCAACATATAGTAAGAATATGTCCTTTGCCCTGGTTTTTTTTTTTCAGTACTGGGATTTGAACTTAGGGCCTTGTGCTTGGTAGGCAGGCGCTCTACCACTTGAGCCACATTCCCAGCCCTGTCCTGGTAATTCTGAAATTAACATGACATGACTAATCTTAAGGAAATATTCTTGATAATTGTCAGTAACTAAGGACTCACAAATTCCAGTGTGAAAAAAGCAGACCTGAGAGTTTTTACATGTGTGCTTCCTTCTACCCTCTCTTACAGATGGATAAACAGAATGGGAAAAGTTGGGGAATCAGACTGATTGCCGAAAGCTCTTCACATCAGCCCTTGTGAAAAGGTTATCTATTATCAGGATCCTGAGTGCTCCGAAGTTGGTGACACTCTGAATAATCACAACCCAGGTCAGAAACTCAGAGCACGCCTAGTAATGTCACCAATGGAAGCTCTCCAACTTCAATCCAGCTGTTCCATTGTGAGTTAGCTACTGAGCCTCTGGCTGAGAGGACCAGCCTGGTGTAGGATGGGCACCTCCAGTTCCCAACCCAGGAGGTGGGAAAGGGGGACATGTTGCCCAGGTCACCTAGGCAGTCAGTCTTGTGGAAACAGAAGGGGACGTAGACAGGGAGACAGGGATTAGACTCATCACTTATGAGTAAGAGAGCCAGGCCTAGAACCATGTCTGGCCCTGCTTTCTCCATGACATCATCTGTAAAAACCTGAAGTAAAATTATGTGTAAGCAAAAGGATAGAAATGTTATACAGCCACTAACCTGTTAAGCTTGAGGATGAGGAAAACCTCATTATAGAGTAATGCCAAGTGAAAACAAAATTCTACTTCTGCTACAATGATAGTGATACGAACGATTTCAAAGGAAACTTGGATAGCTAGGCTGATGCACTAAAAAGGAAGCTCCTCTTAACATGGCTGTGACCTTACTTTAATAAAAATCACTATCTCAGCCTGGCATAGTGGTACATGTCTGTAATCCCAGGACTAGGGAGGCTGAGGCAGGATTGTGAGTTCGAGGCCAGCCTGGGCTATGTACAGCAAGACCCTGTTTCAAAAAGCAAGCTAACAAATTAATTCAGTTCTTACTCTGAAAGCAAGTACCTGGAATGGGAATTTAGGGAATTTGAACTTTACACATGAAGAAATAAATTCCAAACAAGGACTGTTGGTTGAGATAGATTACCCCTCCCTCTTCACTCCTCACTTTGTATCAGGGAGGAGGATCAGAAGAAAACAGACTAGGCCTAAATTCTGATAAAGTAGCAGGGAGGTAAGGATGGCATAGCAGAGAGATAAAACCTAAAAAGGGTAAACATGGTGAGGGTCACGTAACACTGGGGAGGGGAAAAAGTTACATAGCACTAGGGTAAAGTAGCTTATAGAGTTGAATATAGCCATATATGGATTAGACCTTGCTTTTTGCTTCTGTAGTCTATTTGTAAGGGTATATAAGGTGAGACCCCTTTGTTCTTGGGGTCTCACCTTTGGACACGAGTTAGCTGGTTCTGTGCTGGCACAATAAAATGTTGCTTCCTGCCTAACTGCCTCAGTGTCCCGTTCTCGGTTTGTAATTTCCCACAACTTCACTGCCCAATCCCAAATGCTGCCGGATTTGGTCTATATTAAAATGCTTATTTTTTGTTCATCACATTTATTTTTTCCATTCTTTAATCTTTAAAACATTGCATTAAGATATTATTTATCTTGATGACTAGGTTTGGTGACACCCTTCAATTGTGTCTTAGTGAATGCTCCCTCTATCCCTCCCATGCCCAATCCCACCTCCTAGCCTTAGTTCTGCCTGGCCAAAACCTCGTTCTGCAGGTCCTTTCCTTCTGTAGGAGGCGTAAGTAAAAATAGTTACTAGAGAGAGGAGCAAAGCTAGGAACACCCAGCCTTTCCCTCCCTAGGGAAGCAAAGGGCATGAGGTTCACTGCTAATGAGGGGGCTCTGAAGTCTTGGTGGCCAGCTTTCTTGGATCAATTGCTGTTCCTCCAACACAGGGGAGAAGGACCCTAGTCTAGGACCATTTCTAAAAGCACGGGGGTCAGAGGCTAATGTCAAGCAAGCCCACACGCACTGTAGTCTGAGCCCTTTTCTTTCCTTTCAGTTATAGAAAAGCTGAACTGCAGTGGGTCAGGGAGGACTCACTAAGCATGAGCAGGAAAGGAACAAGCAAAGATGTGCTATCTTCCCATGTGTTTCAAAATTAGCCAACAACAAAACAATACAGCATGCAGACACAGATAAATATTCTATTCTGGGAAAAACAAAAGCCAAGGTAGAGATTCTCCATTTGCACTCTGAGTTAAAGAACTTAAGAAAAACTTGAATTTTAATTAAAAACAGCTCAAAAACAAGATAAAAAAACTGAAGACTAAAAAAAACTTGTGCCCAAAATACCAACACAAAACTAAAAAGTAAGTTTAGAAAATGTTTTACTAAAATAATGAAAAAAAGCTAAATCTGTAACAGGAACTCACACATCATGTTCTAATAGGGAAAGAAAAAGGACTCAGAAAAGTCAACACGAAGACTTTTCCTAGCAAAATGACTGAATGTGAAGGAAGAATTCCTAGAATCTGACAGAAAATGTGTCTTCACTGGGAAAGAGAAGGGTGGCTTTCAGCCCTCTCCAAAGAGCAGTCTGTGAAACGCTGGGAAGACGCAAACCCAACACGTCTCACCTTCTACACTGCCATGAGGCGTAGAGGCTGAGGAACATTACAGAAAGTGCCTAGTCAGACAACAAGGAACACTGTCAACCCATGAGTGGGGACACAGGAGGAAGTTCAGGAATTCCTTGTTATGGTTGAATCTAAAATGTCCCCTGAAGGTTCATGTGTTAGCTTGGAAGCTTGTTGATGGGCTTTTGAGGTGTGACTGATCATGAGGGCTTCAACTTCAATGGATTAGTTCATTGATGAGTTCATAACTCAATGGACGACTAGGAGCTGGAGTCTGGTTGGAGGTCACTGGGGGTGTGCCTTTGAAGGGTGTGTCTTGACACCTCCCAACCCTTCCTCTCTGTTGTCTAAGCAGCTTTGCTCCACCCATTCTTCCTCCACCATGATGCGCTGCCTCACCACAGCCTAGAAACACTAAGGCAAGTCATCATGGAATGACTCAAACTTGTGAACTATGAGCCAAAATAAAGCTTTCCTTCTTTAAATTGATGTTCTCAGGTATTTTGTCACAGCAACAAAAAGCTAACCTTCACCTTGACTAGTTGTTAATTCATACTGCCTAGGTTTAGTCACCAAAGAAAAAGAGATTTAACATTATAAAGGAAACTAAGTACTTAAAACTACATCAAAACCAGAGGAGGGTCTGAGGGCCAAGTGGAAAGATGTGTGGATCTAATATAGTTGTCATGTTTGGATATCTAAAGATATCCAAATTTATTAGGTCACTACACATTAAAACAACATGAAGATGAATTCATTGCAAACTTGACCGTGTTTCTGCCCTTGAGTCTGCAGACTGGCCAAAGCCTTGTAGAACAGTTCATCTCTGCTCTCCACCTTAGCTTGGGCTGAAGTAAGTTGGCTTCTGGGCAACTCTATCATTCGAGCACTTATATGGAGCCCCTCCAGCACAGTGGCTACAGTGCAGACAATTAGAACAAGGTTTTACTAACCTGACAAGTATGGTACCTAGGGCTGGAAGGACAGCACTTGGGACAGAAATCTGGCAACATACACCTCTGTACTTCCAGACATTAATACCTGCCTCCGACCACTTCAGTCTCACCTAACAAAGCCTACGACATAGCAGACACTAATTGAGTCCTGGCAGAGATAGCTGTGTGCTGCAAAGAATGCACGGAGCAACCTGTACCTTCTGCTATTGAGAAGCATCTAGCTGGGAGGGCGGGGTGCATGGCAGTGAGAGGCTCTGCTCCTGCTGGGACTCACTAAAATAATGATCTAATCAAGAGACTTGCTTAAAAAAAAAAAAAAAAAAGTTGGTGACACTGGACTATATGGCTACACGTGACAGAAGCCCAACAAACTGCCCTCAGTAACAACAGGAAAACCCCAGGGACTGGACATTTTAGACCTGGCTAGATTTAGTGTCCCAGAGCCAGCACTTTGCCCTGCTTATCCCTGCTGCCCGTGTTGGCTCCATCTTCCAACAGTAAGACAGCTGCTGATGCTCCAGCCTTCCAGGTCAAAACGCATGAGGTGCTGGGCACCACTGGCGCACATTTGCAATCCTAGCTATTCAGGAAGCTCCAGTGGTAGAGCAACTGCCCAGCAAGAGTGAGGCCCTGAATTCATGCCCTAATGCTCCCAAAAAAACAAAAAATCTTTCCCTGAGGAGGCTCAAGCAAACTCACCTGCAGTCAACTATGATTGGCCCTCAGCAGGTAATGGGTGTGGCCTGCAGGGAAGGGATGCAGGCAGAAGCCTCTGCCTCTGGGAACTGTGGTTCACTGAGAAATGAATGAAACCAATATAAAGTTGAAAAGGTGCTGCAATGCCAAAATGAACACATGTCCTACAAGCTGGTGAATGTATTTTTTAAAAAAGAAAACAAAAACAAACCCCAAATTAATGGCAGCTCCAGTGGGACAGGCACTGACATCAGGGAAGGGATCACTTTTCACTTTGTATCATTCTTTAAGTGATCCTAACCAGGCACATGTGCTGTTTTTTATTTCTTAAAGTCACAACTGAGGTTTTTTTTTTCCCAAAGAATTTAAGTTCTTAAAAATGACATCCATATATAAAGGTTCTTATTCAGAGTAGTTTCCAATATATGAACAGTGAAAAACTCAGACACAAACAGCAGCCCATTGTGTTAGTACCATACAAAACACCACAAGTTTAGGCACTTTATCAAAGAAAAATGCTTAGAAATACTGAATGAGGTCACGGAGTCCCCTGCCATCCCTCCTCAGCTGCCAGATGACATAGAGCCAGCGGGCCCAGCACCAGCACCACTTTCTCACAAGAAACAGAGCAGACACCTCACTGGACCATGAGGGGCTGGCAGATGGCAAGGGCTCTCGAACTAGGGATCAGGACTCCAAAGATTCCCAAGTGGCCCTGGCTGGCATTCTCTGCGTGTCCTGCTCAGGCTCCCTGAGCTTCGTGGCTCCCATTACAGGGCTTATCTTCACTGCTTGAAAATGGTGACCGCGACATCAACACTCTGACTCAATTAGACCAAGCACTCTCAAGGTTCATCTGATTAGAGCCCAGCTGATAGAAAGTCGAAAGCATGGACACAGCAGGCCACAAGACCAGAGCGTGCAGTGAAGAGGGACTGTCATCCTGAGGAGACAGGACTCAGACTTAGATGGGAAAAAGCAACACAGGAAGCTCCTGTGAGAGGTGACTAGACAGTAAACATGAACTTTTCAGTGTCCACTATTAGTTAGAAAACCTCTGCCTTCATGCTTGGAGCTTTTTCAACTGTAACGAGCTGGCCAAGTGGCAGACCTTTCTAGAAGGAACAAGAATGTCACCGGTATGCAATTTCTGCAACCCCCCCACCCATGAACCAGGCAAGCTCTCCTGCCAGTCCCGTCCATCACAGGTCTTCTCGTCTACTGCCTGCACGATTGTCTTCCTTGGAAGCCTGTGACTTTGAACCTCCTTCCTTCTTCTTTTTGCTCTTCTCTTGCTTGGTTTTATTCTTCTCTTTGCTTCCTACTCCTTTGCCAGGGTACACCTGTCCCTCTAGAGTGACATCAGCACACCTGTCTTGACTGACCAGAAAGTCCTTGATCTCCCAGGCATAGCTTCCATCACGCAGCATGAAGATGGCTCTGTCTGATCCCACGATGAACCTAAACAGAGACACCCAACCAGTGAGCAAGTGCTAGTAGGATGCTGATGGGTCAGAGCGACCAAGGAAAACAGTTCATTTCAAATTCATACAAAGCTCTTTTTCAGAGCCTGACACTCAATGTCTCAGAATACGAGTTCATGAACTATTAAGCACCCTGCTTGGATCACAACAAAGGCAAATATGGGAGGCCCTGCGATGCACAGTGGACACTGGTGTTCAGAGCATCAGGAAAAACCCCTCAGGTGCTGCAGGGAGCACCGGTGCTGGGGACAGGGTGGGGGCTAGAAGGAGGCTCCCATTTGTACCTGTTTTATGTTCACAAGTGTCACCTCCATTTCTGTTTCATATTCTGAAGTATTCAGTCATACTTTTGTTTAACAAAAGGTTTCTGCTGATAAAGGCTAAAGACCACTGGCTTAGAACTGGTTCTGGTAAGACATCCCTGAAGGGCCCAGGAGGACATCTAGCAACTGGATGGAAATCCTAACCCCCAGGTTATCCACACCCAACAGAACAAGTGGCAAGGAGAAACAGAACATGGATGACTGGAACACCATTATGACCAGTAAACATGACACTCAGCCACACCTGCTCATGCAACCCTTGCAATGTTCTTACCGCTCAGAGACATTCGTCTGCCCTCTGTGGGTGTCACTTAAACTAACACAGCACCCTACTGGCCTAACGCCCTCTCAGCACTCCTTCCACTCTTTCCTCCACTAAGGTGTTCGAAGGCACCCAGTTTCTGAACTCTCATTAAGGGGACAGAAGCAAACTTTCATATTGCATTTTAGGACCAGGCTGGACTGCAGGTTCCCTCACATTCATCAGTGACCCATCAGCAACCAGTATAGCTTTCCAGGTGAACACAGCTGCACACAAGCACTGCCACTCAGCACAAGCTTCTGGAGGAAGCAAACTGTTACCCTGCCACTCCTTTGTCCCCAGAGGCAAGTCTATCTAATCTCTGCAAGCTTTCACCTGAACAAATTAAAAGATAAAGACTCAAAGGTTAAGAAAACCTTAAGACTGAATGAGTTATTAGAACAAATAGCTCAAACAATAATAAATGTTCTTCTCTAAAGGAAAAATGCTTAAACTTAAAAGAACTCCTAGACAAGAAGGGAGCCCCTGGGGAAGACAGCCAGAAAATGTACCCCTCTGAAGCCTATAATAACAGCAGTCTGCTACACCGTGAGCCCATTTCCCAGAACAGCTTGCATCTGTCGCAGGCTGCTGGTGCCTCACCTCTGCACATCATAGTTGGCGTTGAACAGGCTGCCCTGCCACAGGCTGGTGATCTCCTCCGTCTCCTTCTCAGTGGGGCTCCCCGACACAGTAACAAACATCATGAGGGTCTTCCCCTTCTTTGTCATCTTCAATATACTCTCAGGCTTGCCTGGGTCTATCTGTGAGAAGTCGACTGGAGCCGAGGGCCTCTTGTGCTCTGGTAGGTCTCCTTCTTCTATGTCATCATCTTTCTGTCAAGATGGGAGCACCACACCTGTCATCAGAACCTTGTAAGCATATCTGCACGAGACATCAGTCAGGGGCAAGGACAAGACCTACTTTCCAATGGAGAAAGAAAATGCCAGGATTTCCTCCCCACCTGAACTACAAGCCAAGTCTCGCTTCGAAGCAGTTCTTACCACCACCGTCCCCTGTTACCACTCATAGGACCTTGTGCAATGGCTTCTACAGTGTTGTCACATCCAACATGGTAGATCACAAAAATGTCCATGTTCTGGTGGGGTTACACAGTGAAATGTTACCCAAGGATGAAGAATAAATACTAACACCACAAATCTCAAAAATATTAACTGACAGCCAGATGCAGTACACAAGCTTACAAGCCCAGTTCCATGGGAGGCTGAGGCAGGATAGAAACTTATAGGCCAGCATGGACAACTTGGAGTAAAAATAGCTGGGGATGTAGCTCAGAGATACAGCAACTTGCCTAGCATGCATAAGGCTTTGGGTTCAATCCCCTGCACTGGGGGGGAAAGTACATAAGTCAGGAAAAAAATAAGATACACCATACATACATACAATCCCATGTATTTAAAGCTTAGGACCAGGCAACTAAGGCAGGGTGACAGAAATTACAACAGTGCTTGCCTCTCCGAAGGGCAGTAAGGTGGGTGGGACTGAGAAACTGGGGGCTCTGTAATGTAAATGTTCTGTGTTTCAAAAAATAGGGTATGGATTACACAGATGTATACATTACTCAAACTTGGAACAGCATTCTTACAACCTGCATTTTACCATACACAAGTGTTCAACTCTAGTGGGTAGGCTCGTTCTCTACAATGGTAAGAGCTTCCAACTCTAAAAGCACCTTCTATAAATTCTGTAAAGTCCAGGCTTGTGCATACATACAGACACAGTGGAGATGGTAAAAGCCAGCCTCCTCCCCAGGGGAGGAGGAAGAACAGTGTCATGGCACTCACTGTGCTGGAACCCGAGGCATAGAAGCAGCTCAAGGTTTTTAATAAATTGACAGGTAAGGTAGGTGGATGATAAGAATATTTAAAAGTCAGCTTCCTTGGAGAAAAGGCAATTACAACAAGGAAAATAGAAGCCTAGAATAACTTCCCACATCAGAAGTAAGAAGGTGCTCAATGAGCCACAGAACATGTCAGAATGACAGAAACACTAGCCTAAAGTAGCTCTCATAGGCAAATTAGAATAATGTGAACATCAAAACAAATGACTCACACACAAATGACAGTACTGACTTATAACTGCACTAACAAAGTAAGATCCACCGAGTCCATATTGACATAAACAAAAGAATCACTAACAGAGTATCAATTGTTCAGTAGAAAGTATACCAGCAGATAAATAAAAACCATGTAAGAACCAGAGTCTATAAACAAAAGAATCATGCTCCTTGAAGAAAAAGCTAATTCCAGCATCAGAAAGAAATGAAGCACTGATTATCCATGTTAACACCACGTTCCCTGAAGAAAAGTTTGCTCCAGTAACAGAAAGAAATGAAAGAAATGCTACAACATGGATGAACCTTGAAACCCTTATGCTGAGTGAAGGAGCCAGACAGGAAGGACGACACATCCCGTGGTTCCATTTGTAGGACTCATCCAGAACAAACCTTTGGGACAGAAAGTAGATTCAAGGTTGCCTAGTGCTGGGGTGGGGGGGAGGGAAAGAGGGGGGGTAGGAGGAAATGGGGGAGAAAGGGTGAGACTTTTTTTCTGGGCATTTTCTGATGAACATGTTCCAATGCTGACTGTGCCACTAGAAACCAGTGGCACACTTGGGAAGAGAAGTGTATGTCATATCAATCATGTATCAACCAAGCTGTTACCAAAACCCAGACTGAAATGAAACAAAATGCCCTTGTCATTCTTGGTTCTCCTGGCAATTCACCCCACCATCTTTCCTATGATGTCCTAACAGTAGTTCTGAGAAGGGCAGGCTTGCAGGTGATCCTTGGACATCAGCCCTGGGATCTGGGTTCACTCAACCCAGCAGTGTGTGAGCTGGGCTGCGATTCCTCATTCCTTCCTCCAGGGGAAGCAGAGCCAGAATCTGAGTTGAGCAGCAGCAGTGTGTGCCCACAGCAAACCAATCTTCTCCTTACCTGACCAGCTTTGAAGGTGTCTCTGAGGTATCAACAGACAAAGCAGGGGCTGCACTGTCAGACACCTGGATTCCACTCCCTGCTCCAGCACAGAAGCTTGGCCTACGATAAGTTCCTCAGTCCAAGAGAAAGTACTTTTCCTTACCTTTGGGGAGCAGGTGGGGCAGTAACAGTGCTGCCCTCTTAAGGCTTTTGGGGGGTTTAAGGACAAAGGCAAGAGGGACTCAAGAACACGCTGGCTGTCAGACTGCTCCTTCTGTGGACCAAAATCACTCTATGCAAATAACACTCTAAAAATCACAAAAGCTGAAAGATGCCAAATTCACAGGTGGTCTCAGTCTTCATTCTATCCCAGGACTCCAAACTTCTATTACACACTGCTTAAAATACTGCAAAACCTCTAGCTGGTTCCATACCCTACAATATTTGTATTTTTAATTAACCTGGTCACAAGCAACATGTCTTTTTTAATGAAAATGTAAGTAAATAATCCTAAATCTAGTATATCAGTATGGGTTAAGGATTGTTTCAAGTAACTTGCTGTCCAGTTCTATTCTTGTTGAACAACATCCCTGGGTGATGAGCTCTTATCACTTTCTCTGCGCTCCCCCCAAGGCCTACTAATCAAATCAAGCAGCCTCCTGACAAAGGTGCAGTCCCTTGACAATGGTCCCAGCCCAGCCTCCAGGCCAGAATTGCACTTTCAACTGCTTCAAATAGTCCATTGTTGGTTATCAAGGTCAATACCCAAGCTGAGCTCTGCAAACATTTTTCTTCCTCAATAATACCATCTACTGAATAGCTACCATGTCCCAGGCACTTTGACATTTATTATTTGATATATTCAACCCTACAAGGGCTCCACTGAAAATGCAAAAGAATGAACCTCAGAGACATATGAGTTTACTCATATGCAGAAGAGGTAAAAATACTGAAGGGCAAATCCACACTTCTGGCTCCAATCTCGTTTACCTCCACATAAAATGAAACACGTCTGTTTTTTCTATACTACTGGGACTGACATTAGTTCCAACACAAGGAAAAGAGTTTTTTCCTTCTCACCACACATCTGAGGCAAACTAATGGGGAGAGGTTCTCCAACTGGGGGACAGGTTTAAGGATTGCCACCGAGAGAGGAACTGTTCACCATTGCTGAGGCAGGCACCTTTAGGGGCAAGCTTCTATATTAACACACATTCAGTGTTTTGGTTTTTTTTCCGGTAAAACACTGTGATGAAAGCTGAGCATCCCAGAGACATTGCAGCCCACCATTTTAATCTTTCAGCGTGTGAAGTGTGTACTCCATGACCAGCTAACCATGCCCAAAATTCTGTCCGACACCTTATTTTGTTCTTGCAGTACTAGAGTTTGAACTTAGGAATTTGCTTTTGCATACTGCTTGAGCCAAGCTCTTCACCACATTTTCTTTTTGAAAACTGACAGTAAGCTGAGCATGCTCAGGAATGTGCCTAACCCCTGAAGTGTTCTTCCTTTTGAGTATGTATAGACTTCCTAAATAAAATCCTCAAGCTTCCTTTGTTGTATAGGGCACTGCTTTGAACTCCCATTCTCTTCTTACCTGCTGCAGGTAAGAAATCGTTTTCCACTTTTATTTCTCAGCCGGACTTGTTTTGGCTTTCCACTTACCAAGATGTGAACCCACAGCATTGGTTACAGAATCACTTCCTACAAAAAAGCACCCAGAAATGGACCTGCTCTCCTCAGAAAAATCACTGCTACTAAGGAAGGTGCTTACATTTACCTAGATAGCAGCCTGTCTAGGTAATTAATTACCTAAGTAGGACAATTAATGTCCTAAATAGGACATTAATTACCTGGTTTTACAGATTTAGTGAGGGTCACACAGCTGTCTTCGGGTAAAGCTAGGTTCAAAGCCTGTTCTTGGAAGTATGGCTAAAGTGGAAGGGTGCCTGCCTAGCAAGTTCAAGGCCCTCAATGCAAACCCCAGTGCAGAAAATCAAACAAAACCCTGCCTCTTGACTACACTGTGCCGCCATCTTCCAGATCACATGGTCAACTAAGTCCTGTTGAGAGCATGAAGTCTCTCATATTTCTTCTTTTATGCCTCTTCTGGAGGTTCTAGGATTCTAGCTTAATCCAGGTCTTCCCCTTTTATCTGTACTTCTGTTCACTAGAGTCAAAGGACAGGGTCTAGCTGGTGGGGTGGCTTAAGTGGTAGAACATGAAGCCCTGAATTCAAACCCCAGTACCACCACCCAAAAAAAAGTACTAGGAAGGTAATGCATTAACTTGGGGGAATGCTTAATATTCATCAATAGAAACAGTGAAAGGCAAAATAATAATAATAATAATAATCCATCCATGATTACAAAACTATTTGCATGTAGTGCTTTGGGGTTAGGTTAGGATAAATAAATCTAAACACTCCAGCACTGTAGTGTTTGGGTTGTACAACTTTTCATCTTCATCAGATCTGTTGTATTTCCTATCATAAGAAGGCAAATCCTGTAATATTCACAGCCTCTCTCGGTCTGGTTTATACCAACCTTTCACCCTTACCTCCTACTACTTTGCTTCAGATATAATCTGGTCCAGCTAACCTAAGCTAATTAGCACAGTTACTCATTACTGAGGTGTACTCTTCTAGGTTCTTTCCCTCTGTTAATTCTTGTAGGTGCTTTGAGGTGGGCACTACTAACACCTGCGTTTTGCAGATGAGGAAATGAAGGTACAAACCAGTTCTTTATCAGTCCAAATTCACAAGTGTAAGGGGGGCGAACCCAGATAGCTTGATTCCAGAGGCTGCACTGTTCTGCCTGGCTCTCAGTCTCACCCTCAGCTCATGCTGCTGTGAGAAATGCCCTTCTCCCACACTTTCCTTCCTGTCTTTTAAAAAGCCACTGCCCACATTTCCCTTGGCCTATTTAAAGTCCCATTTCCTCCCTGAAGCCCCCTGAGATCCCCACACTTTCTTTTTATAGCATTCAGTCATCTTTACTTTGCACTATAGTTGTTTTTTTAGATATAGTCTCTGACGAATCCTTGCTCACTCCACAGCATCCTCTTTGCCTACCTAGCTGGGATCTAGGTATTTCCTGGGCTAAACGTCTCACTTTGACAGATCAAAAGATGTTATTTGCTAGAGTAGAAAAGAGACAGGAAGATGAGAACGGGGATATTCCCTTTTCTTTATTGGTGGAAAGCTGACTGACTTTTTACCCCAATTTCCCATCAGCTATAGGCAAACATGAGACCCAAGTCTGCTCTCTTCTAGGCAAATGCTTCAGGTGGTATTTTAAACTCATGCCCCTTCCCACACAGACAAAATAACACAGTAACAAAACGTCTGTTGAATGGAGACTTAGGAGTCACAAAGTAAAACCTCCTCATTTTGCAGATAAAGACAAATGAGGCCCAGAAAGGAGACAGGATGGCCTGCCCAAGGTTACACAGTGAGTAAAATCCAAGCTTCTCACTCCAACTCACCGCTTGTGCAAATCAACCAGGACAACAAAACCACTTTTGGAAGGGAAAAAGCCAGCAATATGAACTGTACCTGAAAGGCTTATTCACACTCCAGTGATCCGAGTTAACAAGTCAGAAAACTTACCCACAACACCAATCACTGCTGTTTACACGAAAACTTGAATTCCGTAACGGACAGCTACTGACCGGTACGACTCCCGGCGAGATAAACCCACAAAAAAAATCCCCAAATCCCCAGCAGGCCCGCGGACCAAATATTTGGGAAGAAATCGGGACTCCTCCTGACTTAGGAGAGACGAGCCACCCGCCCGAGGGGAAGTGGGGGGCTACTCACGAGCGGGGGGAGGTGGCTCCCGTGTTTGCGGGGTTCAGTGACCGCGGGGACCAACGCAGCGGCGACCGGAGCACTGGGGAAGTGGAGGTGACTGGGGACGGGCTGACCCGAACCTGGGGTGGAAGGGGTCACAGGGACGAGACCTGGGGCGGGGGGTCGTCAGGTGTGACCGGGACGGGTGAGCAGGGGCTCACGGCACAGGAGAGGTTATAGGTCAAAAGGCACATCGGGGTCAGAGCTGGGTAAGAGGTCAGAGGGAACAGGCCCCCGACACCGGCGGGAGGAGACGCGCCGCGCACCTCCCACTGCTCCAGAAGACGTGCCATGTCCGCATCATTGTAATCGCGAATGTCCTTCTTCTTCTTCCGCGGAGGCGGGGTGGCGTCGCCGGGCGTCCCGGCCGCACTATCGGCCGCCGAGGCCCCACAAGGCGGCAGCAGAAGCAGTAGCAGAAGGTCGGAGGCACAGAGCAGCAGCAGGGCCGCGCGCGCCCAACTGGAGGCCGCCATTTTCGCCGCGCCGCGCCGTCCGCACTTCCGGTTCTGCCCACTACTTCCAGGACCCGCCCCCCAGCTTCCGGCCCTACTTCCTCCCTGCACTCACGTCCGGCCCCACCCCCGCGGACGCAGGTCCCCCGTGGCTCCGCCTCCCGGCCCCAGATAGCCTACCAGGCCCCGCCCCGTCCCAGTTCCTCCAGTTCCCGCCTCCGGAAGCCCCGCCCCGTCCCTTAGCCCCGCCCCTACGGCTCCTCCCCTTGGCCTAGCTGGGCCTTTTGCTCTTGCTGGACGGCAAGCGCTTCGCGTCTTCCTGCAGAGGCCGACCTTGTGTCTCCAGCTCATGGCCAGGTTCCCAAGTGCCCTCGGGGCCTCAGGAGTGCCAATCAGCCCAAATGACTTGGAGCTGGAGTTTTGGATTCTGTCCTGGCTCTACTAAGACCCCGTTAGTGTGTCAGACATGTGCCCTGTCTTCTGCATTTCTTTTGAGGGCAGCCAGCTAGAAAGAAGGGGTGGCAGGTAGAGCCCTGTTTTTAGGTCATGAATACAGGGCTAGTGCTGTCCTCCTCGTGACAGGTGACTCACTTCAGCAGCTTTCAGTACTACTGCTATCTCTTAAACGCGAGAGTTCCTTTTCAGTCACTCATTTTCATTTTTTACAATAGTCTCTCTTCTCTGATTTTAATCTAATTCTGTGCCTCTGATCTTTTTCGGTTTAAAAAGATGTTGGCCAGGGATGCTTTAAAATCCCACAAGTTTTAAATGACTGATCTGCCAATTTCTTTGAAAATTTTAATTACGTAGGAAGACATAAACACCCAATGTAGTTATAAAATATTCAGACATACAGGGTTTCAGTACCGACCCCACAATCCACAATTAGCACGGACTCCACACTAACCACAGTTAGGATGACACGCATTGCATCTATTTTACAGTTTTCTATAATCTTACAAATATCAAAGTGTCGTTAGAAATGGTTTTGTTGCATTCATATGTGTTTATGGCAGAATACTAGGTGAATTATTATGCATATTGGGCTCTTGAAGTGTTTTCCACTTAAAAATATTGAATGAAGAACTTACATTCTTTAACTGATGCATAGTATTCTTTGGTGGTGTTAGCATTTTGGGGGGGATTGTTTGTTTTTACTATTACAACAAAGTGGCAAAAAAACCCTACTTTCATGCCTTGTATAGATATGATTAAGAGGCTACATGTAAGAAAAAACTGCTTTTAAATGTTTAAGATAAAAGACCTTATGGCTGATATTTCTTTCCCAGAAACAGGTAGACACTAAGCATCTTCGGTATGGTGGTTTCCCAGTCATGTGGTAAGCAGCCTTCTTTCTCAACTGTTCCAGCTCACTGGCCCACACTGGGTTCCATCCTTGAGGTCATCACAAGTTCCAAGATGGCTATCTGGGCTACAGCTGACAAGATGACATTCCAGAGGAAGGAAGAAGGCAGGAAAGCCAATCAAAGCTTATGAAAAGCATAGCTTTCATAAGGGTCAACTTCCTTCTAAGCTTCCCACTTGGACGTTGCACAGAACACTTCTGCTATCAGGGACTGGAACTTAGCTCTCCAAGAGAGGCTGGAATGTTGTCCCTCTACCTGTACACATTGTTGACCCAAATAAAACTGTGATTATGTGATCAAGGGAAAAGCACAAGGTGGAGGCTGAGAAGGCCAGCAGCTCACAAGGTTTGCCTTACCTTCACTCATAGGACCAAAGCAGTGGACATTCTCTCCCACAGTACTGGTGATCAGTGTGTCATGATGACATTTTTCTATTGACATGTGCAGAAAACACTCAAAAGAAAAGAGAGCTTTTTAAAAATTTTCTTTTCTTTGCTGAACTCATAGGGGAAATGTCACAAGCTTTCTCCCAGGGGCTCAATGCTCCACCCAGTGGCTTGGAGCGCTGTCCTGGTGCAGTCATGCTACAAAGCACACACAGCTGTGGCCAGTCATGTGCTCTGTTGGGAGGGGCCATCCTGGTAATTCATGTTGCCAATTGCCAAGAGAAGGGGCAAAAGTGCTGGGATTCTTGGCCCACGGTGTCTAGTTACAGAGAAGGAAAGTCATGTAGTGTTTACAGCAATTGTTGGGATGGGTAACAAGTTCCAAAGCTCCCTCTGGACTTTCATCTAAGGAGGAAATTCATTTGGCTTCTAGTCTACCGATATGAAAACGTCTGTATCAATTGCATTTTCAACATTTTAATATTTTAAATATATCTTGGTGTTTTGGAAATTGACTTGGTTAACCTTTGGAAACTGACTTGGTTAAATAGGCAAAGCACAGGGGCAAAGATGAACAGGACAAGGACCTTGCTCTTGCAGGTTTTTGACTAGCAGTGGAGAGAAACAACACGCAGTAAATTTAATTCAGAATGCAAGAGGTCAAGGCCTGGAGGGATGATGTCATAATAATATCTGCCTTTTATTTATTAATTTTTTTTTTGGTAGGACTGGGGTTTGAACTCAGGGCTTCATGCTTGCAAAGCAGGTGCTCTATCATGGGAGCCACACCTCCAGTCCATTTTGCTCTGTTTTTTTTTTTTTTTTGAGATGGGGTCTCAGGAACTGTTTGCCTCAGCTTGCATTGAACCAGGATCCTAATGATCTCAGCCTCCCATGTAGCTAAGACTACAGGCGTAAGCGACAGCATCCAGTAATATTTGCTTTTTTTTTTTTTTAATGGTACTGGGGTTTGACCCAGGGCCTACACCATGGGCTACTCCACCAGCCCTTTTTTGTGTTGGGTTTTCTCAAGATAGGGTCTTGAGAACCATTTGCCTGGACTGGCCTTAAACCACGATCCTCCTGGTCTCTGCCTCCTGAGTAGCTAGGATTACAGGCATGCGCCACAGACACCCAGCTATCTGCATTTTAACTAAGAGGAAATCCTGGTTTTGGAATTACATCATGTGTCTGAGGTCACATAGCTAGGTCAGCCAAGGGCATAGGTCTGAGTCCAGGAGTACTGGACAACAGGGTCATGTTTAGTGTCTTTCTTCTACCACAGCACCATGTGGGTTAATTAGTGAGGTGCTCAGCACTGCTACACTGGGAGCCATTTTGGGAAATGGACTGAAAAAAGTCAGGAGTGCTCAGTAGGGACCAGGATCTGCAGTAGGTCTCAGGCAGGGTGGCCCAGGGCTGAAGAGGAAGGCGGGAAGTGAGACATTGTGTGGTCTTGCTTTCCCCAAACACCAGCCTCTCCTTGCTCTAGGATTAATACTCACCCCACCTCTAAATGGTGCAGTGGCTGTAGATGACAAAACTGAGCCTCAAATCTATTACTGTCCTAATCTGGGCTCCCCCTGGTTTGTGTCCTCCACAACAGAGGATGTGAAGCAAGAGCTTCAAGCAGTATTTGAAATTGGGCAGGAGTAACATTGAAAATGAAAAACTAGAATGGCACAATTACAAATTAACCAGAGCCCGAGGCCCAGGGCCTGAAGGGCAGGGCTCAGGTGCTGAACAGTAACCCTATCACGGCTGAGTCATGGGCGGTTTAGTCAGGGCCTGGGTTGGGGTTGAGCTGAGGACTGGAGAGGCCCAGGCTGTGCTCCTGCTGTTGTTCTGTGAGTGTCTACCACTTCCCAGCCATTACCAAGTGAAATTGGTGGGCAGCCAGATTTTGGTTCAATAAAAAGACACATTTCTGGCTGAGAGGTTTAACAAATGAACAAATCCTGTATCCATGGATTGATAGTCATGCAGTCATTAGGTATGGGAGAAAGACAAGTAGATCAAGTTCCTGCCCTTATAGGGATGACAGGTTTTGGTGACAGTTAGGCTAAGAGTCACAAACAGGATGTAGATGGCCACACCGAGCTATGCCTGCAACACAGCAGACAGGAGGGGTTCGAAGTGCCTGTCTGTCTTAGGGACTGGATAGGCTCCATGTGCAACAGAAATAAACCTTGTGGAACTATGGTGAATAACCACAAAGAACTCTAAGAGACATGGTCAGACATGACTAGTGCCTGAATCCTAGCACTCATCTTTTTTGTTTTCCAAGATTCTCAGAAAATGGAAAATGGATCTAAAGATCACTGTGGCCAGTACAGGAATGGGGTACAAAACTTATTATTCTTTGCAAGCAACCTTAACTTCCATGTAGGGTGCCTGATAAATGAGTAGAGAAAATGCCACATCTCCTAGATGTTGGGACCTGAGTGTTCAGGTGTTCTGAATAGGACTATGATCCTGTACACAAGCCTCCCTCACATACCTGTCCTCAGGTGAACAGAGAGACACAGGAAGGAAGGTGGGGAGAATATGGGACTGATGGGTGAGGTTCTGCCAAGGTATTCTTACTGGGTAGGAACAAATATGCCAGAGAGCAAGAGGACATGCCAGGTAAGGAGAGTGACTGTTACATGGTGAGTCTGGGGGCTCTCATCCATCACCTGTGGGGATGATTGAAATAGAGGGATAGGAATACATCCTCCAGATGTAAATTCCTGACCTATAGAAGAGATATTGAAGGGAAGAGACTGGTGATGTTTGGGTAGACCACCTGAGACTGAATTGGCGGATCTGTGATCCTAAACACAAAACAGAGGGACATGAGGGAAGGTACGTGAGGTCAGAGACCACCCCAAACTGACCACCAAGTGGCACTGTATACCACATACAGCTTGGTTGGTCCATAAATTCTGGGGTGTCCTGTGAAAGGTGATCAGAAGCCAGAGTGCATACAATGTAGTATTATTCAGTCTTAAATGGGAAGTAAATTCTGATACATACAGCAACATGGAAACCTTGAAGACACCACAAGTAAAATAAGAACAAGTATGATTCCATTTATATGAGGTACCTAGAATAGTGAAATTGACAAAAGTAGACTGGTGATTGCCAAGGGCTGGAGGAGAGAAGAAAGAGGAATTGGCTAATGGATACAGAGTGTCATTTCAAAAGATGAAACATTTCTCTTTTTTTTTTTTAAGTAGGACTAGGATTGGAACTCAGGGCTTCCTGCTTACAAAGCAGGTGCTCTACTACTTGGGCCACACCTCCTGTCCATTTTGCTCTGATGATGATGATGATTTTGGAGACGAGGTCTTGAACACTATTTCTTCCAGGCTGACCTCGAACTGCAATCCTCCAGATCTCAGCCTCTCAAAGTCGCTAGGATTACAGGTATGAGCCACCAGTGCCCAGCTAAGAGGAAACATTTCTGAAGATGAATGGTAGTGATGGTTACACAACAATATATTTAATACTGCTGAGCTGTACATGTAAAGGTTATGATGGCACATTTTACCATAATGAGAAGCAAAAATAAAGTGCCCGTGTTGTTATATCGTCATGAAGTCCAGTGGTGGGAAGCTTCTAAAATAATGGAGCAGAAGGAAAAGATGCTTCCCCAACCCTACCTGCAGGTAGGTCCACTGTTCCTGCCCAAATCTGAGCTGGTTATCTCTTTGCATCCTGGTCACTCATTTATCAAAGGCCCACTGAGTGGAGGCCTGAGACAGTCCTCCAGGGTGAGGACACGCTTGACACAGCCCAGCTCCCTCATCTGCTCGACTGACTCTCCTCCAGCCACCCCTCACCTGTTTTTCAGCTTGCTTCTCCTTCTCCACATCCATTAGGTAACAAATGCTGTTAGTCCGACTCTCCTTTGCTGTTATCAGAATGCCTCCAGCTGGGAAGTTTGTAAACAACAGAAAATTACTTCTCACAGTTCTGGAGGCTGGAAGTCCAAGATCAAGGAACCAAATGATTCACCATCTGATCTGGGGAGGGCCTGTCAGTCACAGATAGCACCTTATTGCTGTGTCCTCACATGGCAGAAGAACAAAGCGGTGAACAGCTCTTCAAACTTCTTACAAGGGCACTAATCCCAATTCATGAAGGCCTCACCCTCATGACTTAATTACCTCCTAAAGCTCCATCTCTCAATACTGTCACATGGCTGATAAAGTTTCAACAAATGAATTTGGGGGTGAGCATACCACAACAAATACTTTGCACAGTATATTTGGTTCTTATGATTTCAATTTTAAAGGAGGGTTAACAGCCAGGCATGTCGAGGCACACATCTGTAGTCCCAGCACTTGGGAGGCTGAGGCAGAAGGATTGTGAGTTCAAGGCCAACCTGGACTACATAGTGAGACCCTATGAGAAGGAAGAAGGAAGGAAGGAAGGAAGGAAGGAATGAAGGAAGGGAGGGAGGGAAGAAGGGGAGAAAAAAAAAAAGAGAAAGGGTTAGAAGGAGTAATAGGTGGAGTTTTTCTAAAGAAAAAGCCATTACCCCAGTGACTCTAGAGAAAGACACAAGCAAGTCCTCCTTTATTCATCAGATTAGACTAAAATACACTTCAACAGGAGGAAGAAGTCACCTATTATGTCACTTTGGTGCCCAGCATGGGGCTGGCCTATAGCAGGTACCCAGTGTTTGTGGAGTGAATGAACTATGGCAGAAAGGAAGGAGAACCTAAAGGAAGGTGGAGGTAGAGCTGTGCTACCTAAAAAATGAAGCAAGGAAGGCTGGGAAAACGGTCCACCAATTTCTGAAAATAACCAAACCTGGAATAGAATGGAGCAGTTTACATGCAACCAAGCTCCTGGTTGGGGTAGGAGGCTTCCAGGAGCAACAAAAAAACAGAGAAGAGAAGGGGCACCTTCTCTTGGTGCAGGGGCACCAAGTGTCTGGAAAAAAATCCCCCAATCCCAGAGCAGTCTCATGGATAAATTAGGCATAGGGGAAGAGGTTCAACTTCTTTCTTACAGGTTTCTTAGAACTAAGAACTCAGGTGCTACTGCTCTGTTACCATGGAACCAGTCTGATTTGTCCAACTATTTTTCCCTTGTAGGAAAACGAGATTAATTAACACTACAGAATTGCTACTTGTTGAGAAAGCCATTGGTTTTATGGACTTCAGTTTGCAAAATAACTTGGTCTAGATTCAAGCAGATCTCTAAGGACATTTTTGGTTATATGTAGGGTGACTGTCCTTCCGGGTTTGTACCTGCTGTTCCTGGTTAATTTATTAATAGCTCTTCTCACAGTTTGTTCTCCAAAGTGGGTTTGGATAATAAATTGAAGATCATCATTACAAGTATCATTTATAATTGGGTGAAAAATGGTGGCCTGCGGGTCCTAGGAGGAGACAGTGAGACAAACATTTCCACTAGCTGGGCACACCCAGCATGTGATGGGCTGGGCACCTAGAGCACCCGCCCTTCTTAGGACAACTGAGGCGGCACTGGGCTGGGAGGAAGCCCAGGGGTTCCAACCACTTCCTGCAGACATGGTCTGCAAAACCCCAGAGAAGAAGGGGGCAGGCTCCTCGCACAGCCAGCTGCTGTGTTCAGGACATTAGGAAGTCACTCTAGCCATCAGTTTGCACACTTGGAAAGCGGAGATAGTAACTTTTACCTGCAAGGTGCCTCTCTCCTTTAACAATGGTCACGATTATTCCGTTATACAGTTGAAGTTACCAGAGGTCAAGCCACCGATATGAGTCAAGTAACCAAGCAGTCAGGGCCCAGCGTCTGACTTCAAGAAGAGAAAACTTACACAAGGTCACACCATTCACAAATGGAAGGAGGAATTCGGACCCCAAGAAGTCTGGTTCAAAGCCCGCACTGGGTTTCCCCTCAACCTCCGCGGATGGGACAATATCCCCAGGGCGCTTTTTCTCTTTTCATCACCCCACGCAGTCCATGAGCAACTAAGGCCAGGGGTAGAGCTTGGAAAACCAACCGAAGTCCCACAAACCACGAGGACTGGATTCCAGCAAATCACCAGGGGATGGCATGGAGTGACCTCCTCCTCCTGGCCCAGAAAACAAGTCACCCTTTAGACCTGCTCCCTTGGCGGGGGAGGAAGCATGGAGCCCCCGGGGCTGGCCATGAGCTTACGTAAGGCCAGCTGGAGGCTGCGCCCGGGTTTCCCCGGGGTGCGCCCAAGCCCCGGCCCTGGGTGGGCTCCCCGACCCCTGCCTGCTCTGCTCCTCCAGCCTCTCCACTGGGGACCACCCGCCGGACGCGGGCAGCCTGGGCGCAGGGCGGCGGCGTCCTCCCCGCAGCCACCCAGCTTCCCGGGGGAGGAGCAGCGCATCGCGCAAGCATCCGGGAGCGGCGGAGGGGGCGGGAGGAAGGGCGAGAGGAGGAAGCGGGATTTAAACGAAAGGCGGTGACGCCACACAAAAGATTTCTATAGGCTCGGGGGAGGTTGCGGCCGAGGTGGCGGCGGCGGCGAGCCGGGGGCGAGGCGCGGACGCGGAGAGGAGCGGCCTCCAGCAGCCCCGGCGGGCGGCGGCGCACCGAGGCGAAGCCGCGCGCGGAGAGGAAGCGGTGTTTTCCCCGCTGCCTTTCGGCCCCCGCCCTTCCTTTTCAGTCTCTCCGCGCTCGCTCGGAAGTTGGTGGTTGACAAAAATGGCAGGAGCCGGGGCCCGGGCCGGCTGCCGCAGCGCCACGGGGACCTTCTGAGTTGGCCCGGCCGCCCGGGGGCGACGCGCGCAGAGGCGTCCGATGCGCGGGGCCCGGGGCCTCTGGAAGCTCCCCCGCCCGAGACCAGAAGGCCACCGGGATGGACTCGCGCCGCCACCAGCAGCGGGCCGCCGGGCGCGCGGTCAGAGAGGGCGTGCCGCCGCGGCGCCGGGCGCGCGCACTGAGCCGGCGAGGCGGGCGGAAGGGCACCCGGGCGGCACGCCGGGCGTGGCGGCCAGAGCGCGAGCGGGGCGGCCGCCGTGCGCAATCAGTGCAGGCTCCCGCCCGGACTCTGACTCGCGCGGCCGCCACAGCGTCGACCACACCCTCGGCCCTGCTAGCCGGCGCCGCTTCTCCCGAGCGCGGGAGGCAGGAGATGTGCTCGGAGCGGCCGTGCGTCCCGGAGCGCCAGCCTCGGCCGCCGTCGCGAGGAAGTGCCGCCTGCTGGGGTCCCAGCGCCTTCTGAAGCCCACGTGCGCCGCCGAACCCACGGTGAACTGGAGCGCAGCGGCTGACAGCACAGCCCGCCGGAGCCGCCGCCCGCGATCCTCCCCGAGGAAAGGATTTTGATTTCAAAGAAAGAAAGGAAGGAAGGAAGGACAACTCCCAGCTTCCCTGTCCCGCCCTCTCCGCTCCGGCCGCCCCGCCGGGCCATGCCCAGGAAGGCGACCCAGCCGAAGGGACTTTCCAGGCAGCAGGGCGGCAAGGAGCGCGGGCTGTGAGTTTGTTGCGCCCCGGTTCATGGTTCCTGCAAGCCCTCCAGGAGGCCGGTCGCCGCAGTCCCTCCCCGCGCCCTCAAAAGCCTGCAGCGTTCCAGGCCCTCGGCCGCCCCGCGCCGCCCGGGCTCCGCGCCGCAGCCCAGTGCGCCTGCCCGGCGGCGGTGGATGGCATGATGGTGCGCGGGAGGCACGACGGCCCTGCCAGCTGAAAGGGCAAGATGCAGCTGGTGGCCGACCTGCTGCTGCTGTCCAGCGAGGCCCGGCCTGTGCTCTTCGAAGGCCCCGCCTCCCCATGTGCGGGCGCGGAGTCCTTCAAGATGCAGCTGGTGGCCGAGCCTGCTGCTGCTGTCCAGCGAGGCCGGCCATGTGCTCTCGAAGGTCCCCCCTCCCCCATGTGCGGGCGCGGAGTCTTCGAGCAGTGCCGGGACACCATCATCGCGCGCACCAAGGGGCTCTCCATCCTCACCCACGACGTGCAGAGCCAGCTCAACATGGGTCGCTTCGGAGAGGCGGGGGACAGTCTGGTGGAGCTGGGCGACCTGGTGGTGTCGCTGACCGAGTGCTCGGCGCACGCGGCCTACTTGGCGGCTGTGGCTACGCCGGGCGCTCAGCCTGCTCAGCCAGGCCTGGTGGACCGTTATCGAGTGACACGCTGCCGCCATGAGGTGGAGCAGGGCTGCGCCGTGCTCCGAGCCACCCCATTGGCCGACATGACCCCGCAGCTGCTGCTGGAGGTGTCGCAGGGCCTGTCGCGCAACCTCAAGTTCCTGACGGACGCGTGCGCCCTGGCCAGTGACAAGTCCCGGGATCGCTTTTCGCGCGAGCAGTTCAAGCTGGGCGTCAAGTGCATGAGCACCAGTGCGTCCGCGCTGCTGGCCTGCGTGCGCGAGGTCAAGGTGGCGCCCAGCGAGCTGGCGCGCAGCCGCTGCGCGCTCTTCAGCGGGCCCCTGGTGCAGGCCGTGAGCGCGCTGGTGGGCTTCGCCACCGAGCCGCAGTTCCTGGGTCGCGCGGCGGCGGTCAGCGCCGAGGGCAAGGCGGTGCAGACCGCCATCCTGGGTGGCGCCATGAGTGTGGTGTCGGCCTGCGTGCTCCTGACCCAGTGCCTCAGGGATCTGGCACAGCACCCCGATGGGGGCGCCAAGATGTCGGACCACAGGGAGAGGCTGAGGAACTCGGCCTGCGCCGTGTCTGAAGGCTGCACCCTGCTATCTCAGGCTTTAAGGGAGAGGTCTTCGCCCAGGACTTTACCGCCAGTGAATTCCAATTCTGTGAATTAGCACCCCCACCCCTACACACACGCACCCCATACTCCTTCTTTCCCCAGCCCCAGGCTAAAGGGAGACACTTATTCTCTGCCCCTCTCCATTTATACCAAAGAAATCATAGGTGACACCCCCTCCCCCTCGTGTCAGATGCTCAAGAGGAATCTTCAAAAAGCAGGGCCATGCACACAATTTAACACAAGCACCCGGAGGGCCCAGGGACCCACCCGCCCATACCCAGTAGGGACTGGGAGATGGAAGTTGGTAATCACTGGTTGTGGCTGTGGCATTACCCTTCATTCCAGCCCATCAATTAAATTTTATTAGTAATCGGGCAGGAAGGAGGTCATGGGTTCATTTCTTTTTTTTTTTTTTTTTAATTAAAAAGTTACCTCAGTTTTCACTCCTTACACATGGATGTAGCTACCTTTTTTTGTATGTCATTTTTTTTTTGTTTGTTTGAGCTAGGGATATACTTGGTATGGAAAGAGTATGACTTCACCACGTGATTTGCAAGTGGGGGGAAGCTACTGTGAGCGTGTGCTTTATTTTTTAATTTACACTATCGAGTGATTTTTTTTCCCCCAATGTCAAGTTTTTACCTTGCATGTACTGGAGTATTTATTTCATCTATTAAATTGTTATGTTTCTCAGATGGCTTTTTGCGATCATTGTAACTTTTTTTATTTTTTTGGTGGGACTGCAGTTTAAACTCAGGGGCTTGGAGCTTGCAAAGCAGGTGCTCTGCATTTGAGCCACTCCTCCAGTGCATTTTGCTCTGGTTATTTTGGAGATGGAGTCTCTTGAACTCTTTGCCCTGCCTGGCCCTGAACCTTGATTCTCCTAATCTCAGCCTCCCAAGTAGCTAGGATTACAGGCATGAGTAACCAGTGCAATGATTGAATTTTCAAGAACTAATTTTGCATGCTTTGTGTCATCTGAGGAAAAGGCGACCTTGGTCGTGTGGTTATTCTGTTCGCAGCCCTTTCTCCTTTTCCCTTAAGGGATTATTCCTTTGAGCAGCCTAGGGCCCAAGAAGAGACACATGTATGTCATACTCTTTTTAAAGGCAGGTGACACAAATATGATTGAATTATATATAGTGCCTGTGGTGGGCTGTTAGTGGGGGTTTTTGCCTTGTCTCTAGTTTCTCCAGGAAAGCAATTTAGCAACCTGTGTCTGCTCATCTTTCCATCCTAATGAACCAGGTTCAGGCTGACTGAAGTCTCATTTGTACTCTGCCTGTCATTTTCAGATTAAAGCACTTCCTTAATCCTGTGTGGGACGCCAGCCTCCCCAGCTCAGAGGGTCTATGTTTGGAACCTCAGCACTGGGTATCAAGTCAGAGGGCTTAGCATCTGTCATGTGCACAGGGATGAGGCAGACAAGACCCCATGACTTTAGAAAAAAAAAAAATTTAGAAAGTTCTAGACTGTTAAATATTCTGGGAAGTGTGAATGCTAGAACTGCAGCATAATTGCAGGCAAAAGCTTATTTTTTGTGACCTTGATGTGCCACGGTTGATCCCATGTTGGAAGAATGCTTTGCTGATTGTGATTTGAATAGTTTGAAGTTTAAGATCGTTTGTCTTTTCCGCAGGAGTTTAAAGGAGTTTGAGAGGTGGGTAGTAATGGTAACATTGTCAGTCTTGGTTAATAGTTGAACAGTTTCTTACTAAAAGGACAACAGATTTATTACAGTTCTGGAGGCCTGAGAGGGTCACCTCATACGTTCTTTAAATCTGTATAATTTACTGTTTTCTTAGAATTTGTTGTGCTTAAACCACGCAGTTCCCACAGATCTGAAAAGTATTTTTCACTATCGTACAGTAGAGAGAAGAAAGCCGTATTGGCTGTTTCTCTTGCTTGTATGGCTGTGTTTATTGCAAGAATATGGAATTCAGGTTTAAAAATGTCATTAAACCTGTTTTGGGTAAGACTAGGACTCTTCTGAACTTGAAGTTTGAAAAAGTCTTAAAGTGGCAGGGTGCATTCATTTTTACAAAGGGTCAAGGGAGCAGTTGTTTTTCTCTCTTAAGAGAGAAAAGTCCTGGCAGACTTAAATTCCTAACGTAAAAGATGAAAATGACCTTGGAAATGTTTATTCTTCCCTCCTGTCCTCTGTAAATTCTACTCTGGATCAGTTTCAGGAAGACTGTGGTGGTGAGAGGCTCCTGCCTGACAGCCCTCCACGCATGGGGAAATTCTGACTTCATTTTATTTGTTTCATTTACACATGTAATGATAGTCTTGTGGTTCATTTAGTGTATGCAGGTCACAGCAAACTGAAAGCAGACCCAAGGTAAAATAAGGGCCAGAGAGCTGTAAATTTGGGATTTGATTAAGAAGTCCAGTATTTCCCTGGACTTGTTCCTTGCAGAAGTCATTTTCAGGACAATTCAAGCAAAAAAAAAAAAAAAAAAAAACACTTGTCCTATCTACTTGGGAAGTAGTTAGGAAGTAGTATGTGGGATGAAGTTAGTTAGCAAGTCTCCGAAGTAATTTTAAACTTCTTCCTCGTAGCCAGTGATAGTTACTCTTATTGCTTCTGTGTACCAAGGGTTTGGTTATGTAATGTTTGAAAATCTCTGCTCTGAAATTGATAAAGTCTCAAATTTTACGAAAGGCGGCATTTAACCTCTTTTCTCCGTTATTAAGGTCAGGGTTTGTCTTGCAGCTGGTATCTTGAACTCTTTCGGTTTTTTCTAGCAGGCTTAAGAAGCCAGACTGAGGATTGCATAGAACATTATTTTTGGGTGTCTGCACAGCTTGACCAGCAAGGGACTCAGGCACAGATATTTGACATTTTACCACTTTCTATCAATGTACTACCTTACCAAACTTGTTTTTTAAAAGCTTCTAGTTTTTAAAAAGGAGTATCTCAGACCTATTTCATAAGAGGGTGTAATAAGGTCAGCAGAGATACTGGCTCCAGGAGTAAAAACAGAATGGCCTGATTTCATGCCTTTTTTTAATTTTTAAACTAATTTTTAGACATCAAGCCTTGGGTTCTTGTGGTTTCTGAGGAAACGCAAGGATTCTTACACCATCCTGACCAGAAAATGTTGAGAACCTTTTTGGGAAGGGCCATGAGAAAAGGAAGCACTATGGGTAAGTTCTCTGAACAAAAGCCATTATTTAAAATGGTCAACCTAAATAAATGGAACAAAACAGGCTTTCAAACACAAGACTGGACTTAACCAGAAAAGCACAAGAACTCTTTCTTTGGCCTTTATTACTCATTCTGAATTGATGTTAGGAAATGCAAAAATTAAGTGTGTGTGTATTTTTTTTCTCCCCCAACTTCTATCATCTTTGTAATACTGGAAGTACTGGTTAACATCTAATTAATTGATTATTTTACAAACACTTTCCTTTTTAAGCTGGCACAGGGATCTAAACTGTTTGGCAGTTTGAAACAGCTAATTTTAAAAGAAACACCTGTTTTTCTGAATGACTGTGACAGTAACTAACATGCAGGTCAGGCAGAGGCTGACACAGGCCAAAGCTGCTCTGAGCTCCGCTCAGCCAACCAACAGGGACTTGGAGGTGAAGCTAGGAAGGCCTACCTGCCCTGTGCTCTGAGTGACCTCCAGTTTCAAGGAGAGAGTTCACAGACACCTGTGCTCCCGCCAGGAAAAGTCTCCTGATTTATTTATTTATTTATTCATGTATTTGGAATGTGTGAAATGAGTTGGACCATTTTGCTTAAGTAACGTTTTTCCCTTTTTCTTTTTTTTTTTCAGTACCAGAATTTGAACTCAGGGTCTTAACACTTGCTAGGCAGATGCTCTATCATGTGAGCCACGCCCCCTCCCTTTTTCTTCTTTAGTTAATTTTTGGTGCCTCCCTACTAGCTGAGTTGACAAGCATGTGCCTGGCTGGTTGGTTAAGATGGGATCTCACTAACTTTTTGCCCTGGCTGGCCTCAAACTGCAATCCTCCTGATTTCTACCTCCCGAATAGCTGGGATTACTGGTGTAGCCACTTCCTCAGACCCTAAAGTTTTTCTTTAGGGTCATTTTGGATGGGTGAATTATCTGCTTCCCCAGCAATGATGGAAAACTCAAAAGTTTTAACTGTCCAGATACCGTAAGGAAAAAGTAGCATCTATGATTGGGGTCCGTTAACTGTAAACTCCTTAAGATTAGAGGCTATGGCACCCGGCACATGAAATTGTTTTTTTGAAATGAATGTGTATAAGGTACCCACAGGAAGTATGCATCAGCAAGCAGTAAAATTTTTCCTGGAAATGGAAACTATAAAGGTCATTCACTTGGCGAACTTGTGTTTTGTGTGTGTGTGAGGTACTGGACTCCGAACCCAGGACCTACACCTTGAGCCACTCCACCAGCCCATTTTTAGTGATGGGTTTTTTTCAAGACAGGGCCTTGAGGACTAGTTGCCCAGGCTGGGACTTCAGACCTCGATCCTCCTGATCGCTGTCTTGAGTAGCTAGGATTACAGGCGTGAGCCCCCAGCACCTGCTGGCAAACGTGTACTTTGAGCCAACTGTATGTGCTAGGCACTGGACACAGCCGTGCGTGAGCCTGGCTCTACCCCTTAGGACATCAGGACATTGCCAGGACTTATACTGCTGGAAACAAGGTCTGTGGACCCTCAGCACCAGCATCATCCTGGGCCTTGCCTTAGGTCTATTCCATCAAAAGAGCATCTGCCTTGTCAAGTCCTGCCCGGTGGTTCGGGTGTGTGCCCGCGTTGGAGAACCTCTACCCTGAGCACCTGCTGGTTTCCTTTTATTGCCTCCCAACTTTGACCCAGAATGCACTACTTCTGTACCAGGAGACGGCAACACTTCTGCATGTTCCTCGTTTGCTCAGGTGTGTTTTTCTCCTGGGTGTTGTGAGATCTTTTCTTTAGATAAGACAAGTTTTGGAATCTTTGAGAATCAGATTTTTATTCTGCTGTGTGAGTGAGAGAGAGAAAAAGAGGGAGAGAACATGGGTGTGTCTGACTTCACCTCCCAACCACTCTTTGGAGATTAACTGAAATTATAGGATAATAAAGTAGCAAAACAGCCTTATGTTACTGCCTATTATTGGCTCTTGTTCTGGAAAGCTGGAAATAGCAAGGTAATTAAAAATCAACCTGTCAACTCTTTGCCCAAGAAAAAAGTTTTCTAGATGTTAGACTGAAAAAAGGCATGGAAGGACAGGTGGGAGATAGCTCAATATGTCAGCACAGGCTTTACTGGGGAGAAGAAACCTGCGGAGGGGGTCTCCAGCAAGAGAGCTGGAGCCCATGGCCGCTTACAAACTGGGGTAGTTATAGGAGGTTAGTGGGAGGAGTCCCAGGAAGGTTGCTGGGCAGGAGGACCAGACCCTCTTACCCTCCAAGATAGCGGCTTAAGGGTGTGATAATGGCCTAATGGCGAGTCATTTTTCAGGAGGGGGGATGTTATTCTTTAGGGTCCCCTGGAGAGGGTCTGATCTTCACGTGGCTGCCCTATGTTTCCCCTAATACTATTGAGTTTGTAAAGCCTTATATTCAGACTCAAATATAGTGTGTAGACGATCTTTTCCAAGCTTCCTTTAACAGTTTTATGCCAGGTGTGGTGGTGCATACCTGTAATTCCAGCTACTCAGGAGGTGGAGATAGGAGAATCACAATTCAAGACCAGCCCAGGCAAGAGT